CAGTTTATTAAAAAAATTTACATTTACAAATTAATTCAATGAAGTCGGAGAAAAAGTAAGCAATGCAAAGTCAAAGGCATTGCATTTGGGGAACATACAGACTGGCGTTTGCATCTACTTATTTTCATTATATGCATATGAGTCAATTTCTCTTTACAAAACTGGGTACACAATACAGAAAATTAACCTTATAACTCACATTTGTGTAAGAAAATGTTCAACTGCACCACCTGCTGATGAAGTTCTGTAAAGTAACAATTATTACATTTGGGGTTTTTAAAAATAAATTTAGTACTTAAAAATAAATCAGGCTAGAAAATGACTTGATCAGTGCCATGAAATATTAGTGTAAACAGTTACAATAAAATGTGTATTTAAAAAAAAAACGATAATTAACTTGTCATACAAATACTTTGGGTGTTCAGAACAGTCAGAATAAAAAGGTTTATAATGAAAACGCATATCCAATATAAGAAAAAAACAGAAAATGCTAACCGTTTTTTAGCTTAAAATCTTATCTAATCTTGAATTTTGTGACAAGTATCTCACATTTGATTTTCTTTGACAATTTAAAGCACATTGTAACACAAGTGACAAGGTCAGTTCAGATGCTGACTGAAAAAGTGCCAAGAAAAGGTCTAATTGGGTTCAAAGTAATCTGAAAGAGGGCATTAAATTATTAGAACCATCAAGTTGTAAAGTCTTATCTTTTGTAGCAAATAAATCTTAGATTTTGAAAGCAATGTCATAAGAGTAAAAGCAGAATTATAGTTGTGATAAATGCAATATTTAATCCATTTTAAGGATGACTTCAGAGTGTCAGCTAATATGCCTACATGGTGAACACAATAACAGGACTATTGTTTTTGTAAAACAGGTTTAACTGTATGTTCTTTTCTTCTCTGTGTTTGATTACATTTTTTACCAGCTGTTTGTTTGATGTCAGTTGGAATTGAAAAACAGGAAAATCCTTCATCTTCCCACCTGTTTTTCATACATATGCAAATGTGACCACAAAATCATTTCTTTCAGAGAAATAATTCAAGCTATTAATATTCAAACAGCAATTACAATGTTTTTTTTTTTTTTTTCTCTCTTTGTATTTACAAATCTTATATCCCTCAGTGGAGCTTTAAAACCTGGACATTTGGCTCCATTGTTTCACCCTGTTTTGATTTCCAGTCTTTACATTTTAGAGCAAATGTTTTAAAAGGCTAATCCTATGCCAGTGATATATTATGCTAATCTCAGTTCACTTCACTGATCCGTGTTGCAAAGTTAAAGCAAAGGACACAGTTGTGGACAACAGTTTCTTCAGGAAGATTCCATCACTGTAGACACTTGATATGTCTGGGTCTTCATCCTGCACTTCATCTCTCTTATCATTTGACATACAGCCAGAGGGTAACAGCAATACACTGCACTCCAGTCCTCACACACACTTCCCTGTGGGTAAACATGCAGGACAACGAGGAGCAGACATGCAGCACATGCAAGCAAGTGGAGGAAGCAAACAAAATGAGGTAGTAGAAAAACAGAGAGAACACATTTTTAACTACAAAGGCATAATATAGAAATGCACATTTTACTTTTAAAACACATAGAACTATGTACTGCACTTACCCGAATCTTGTAACGTTCCCTGATTCCAACTCTGATGGCAAAAGTGGATCCTGGTAGGAGAGGCATGCAAAGACACTCCCCAAACTGCTGGGCTAAACTCAGATCTAAATAGCACGGCACCAGCGCCCCAATAATACCTGAAAGAATGTAAGAAGGAAACTATAGTTTCTGTGTGAGGATTTCTAAGTGTTTTGCTCAAGATATAAATTCTTGTTCTTTGAAGGTATTTAAAAAGTAGAACCGACTAAAATACAAAAGAAACAAATGTATTTTGCTGATGCTTTCTTTTGAGTGCTTTGTAGAAAAAAATATTCAAAATGTTGATGCATGTTAAATTACTATGTGGATGAAATTCACACCGTCCCACAAAACTACAGGATAAATAATAATGACAAAAAAAAAATTTTTGATTATTTTTTGCTTTTGTAAAGAAGTTTATTAGCTGTATTTTGTTTTACACTTTAGTTGTTTTAGGTTTGGTAATATATGTGTAAGACTGATGGAATTGGGAAAATCAGAATAGAACACAGCTTGAATGAATGAATGAATTTTATTATTAACATCAATGTTAATTTAGAAATGTGCTTTAGTGTAGTGTGTGAGTGCCTCTTACATGTTGTCTTGTCTCCACAGACATTAAAAAGTCCAGTGCTCCAGTCTCCCCCTGTTTGTGTGACGGTGGTGATGGTTGTTGTAGCGATGCCAGGCCCAGGCTGAGTTAGCACTGGGCTCATCGTCACAGGGAATTCATTTGACCTCTGACTATCATCAGTTTGTGTGTCAAAGCCTTCCACTTCTTCATCTTGACACATCGACGCCGAAACATTTTTGACTGAAAGTTCTGATCTAAAAAACAAAGAAAAAGCAGCTTTAAATGCAAGCTGATGCTCTTTTTGCATAAAAGGGATATAATCTAAAGGTCTGATTTATTCCTTGTCCATATTGTTCACGAAATAGACAAAAAAAAAAAAACAGGATTATACAGTTATTGCAGTAAATATGATGAGAAAATACTTACTTTTGCACACCAATGATATGCAAAATAAGTAAATCAAGAAGTGATACATAGGATGTGGTGAAACTGTTGCCTTTAATTACATTGTGCCAAGTACTGGGAACTTAATGAAGCAGTTTGGAACAACATAAAACACTTACTGGTCAGTAACTGTCGTCTCCTCCATTACTTGCTTCTACCAGAAGCTCCTTGAGACGGGTGACACAAGGAGGAGATACGAGAGTGGAGCTGGGAGTCAGCAGGAAAGAGGAGCCGAAGTGACACTCTCCCAGTGAGAGGCTGTGTGTCGGAGCAGATAAACCTGCAGTCAGAGGGCTCAGCCAGAAGCTGCGTGACTAAGATAAGTCTTGCTGTCTTCAGTCTGAGACTTTGCTGTGCACCCTGCTAATACAGCAAATAAAGAGAGGGCAAATGAACGTCAGAGTGCAAAAAACATAAAATGTTCAGCATGGGAGTACAAGGATGCATTCAAATTAGAGGATATCTGACAAAATTTTAAAAGAAAATTAAAAGAAAATGTATGCAAATAATTACAAAAAAAAGAAAAAAAAACAAACCAAATAAATCAAATCTAACACTTTATCTGATTCATTATATGTAGTTATTAATTTACATAAATTCTTAAACAATGAATGCAACACTTACCTCTGAGGTAAAGAACTCTTGTATGAGGCGCTGAGAGGGAAAATCTTGGTTTTTGAAGTCATGAAACTTCTGCGGTTTTCATTTAAAAGGGCTCATTTCCTCTGCTCTGACAATGACCTCTTATTTAGATTGATGCACTTTGTACTTGAGACTTAGTAGGTGACAGAAAAAAAGGAAGAGGCGCTTTGTACGTGCTGAAAAGTCATGCAGTGAAACTAAGAGGTTCAGAAGCTTAAACCATCTTCCAAATTATAATGCAAGTGATATTTTCTCAGATTCTCTTCAATCGTCAATGGAAGTGATGGTCATCAAGTCATTACAGTATAAATCAAATTTTATAGAACAAAGCAAATAAATGTTTGCTGCTTTGTAAGGGCATTTTAACAGCTGCTCTGTTAAGCCCATGATTTTGTCTAACAGAAACCTTCCTCATTATGCCTTTATCTGCACAAACCATCTTTGTTCTGAATCAGCCACAAATCACTTCACAGAATGATAACACTTCAGTTTTCGTTCACTATCTAATGTTTCCATGCGTTGTCATACGACACTACACTATATGATGATTTTTGTCAGCAGAGATCCTTTCTCTTTCTCTTATTGCTTGAAACCGGTGGCCTGCTTAATAATCTGGAACATCCTTCTTAAGTAATTTTCTTTAAGTGAGCTCATCAAACAAACTGATCAACCAGCTCTCTGAAATTAATTATAGAGACCTGACACACAAAACCATCTATAAATTTGATAGCACAACAAAAAATGTAATTTTTATGACACTTAAATCCAATTTGCATAATAATTTGGAACACAGTGTAGATTAAACATATGTACACTCCCAAACAGCATTTCTGATTTATTATTTCTCCTCAAGTCACTGATGATTTCTGTAAGAATATTTAAAACAAGTCAGGCTGATACAATTCCTTGGGTGAAAGTGACTTTGCTGCCTCAAATACAGAGGGTAATACAAAGTGTGGTCAGTTTTCATTAAAAAAGGGCTTCCACAGAGGAAGTCCAGACTGAAAAACCAAAGCTCAGCAAAACAAAAGGGCAGAGTAAAGGTTTGAAAGACCCATCTTGAGGATCCCAACATTTGAGGAAATATTCTGTGTACTGATGAGACAAAAAGTAGACCTGTTTGGAAACAGTGCATCCTTTTATACCTTGTATAAATCTAACAAAATTTCAAAAAACAAAGCAGCAACCCAACATCTGAGTGAGAGAAAAAATACTAAAAGAAAGTGTTTGAAGAAGCCTAGTCAAAGTCCAGAGTTAAATTTGATCAGGATGCAGTGGTACGACCCAAGCAGGCTGTTCATGCTCAAAACCCCTCCAGGTTGGCTTAATAAAAACAAAGTCATAAAATACTTCACACAGCAAAAACAGACACGGTCTGAAAACGTTCCTTTGAAAACAAACAAGCGTCTGTTTTTGTTTCTTTGAATGCATCCAGAAAATCCCTTTATTGCATTTTAAATAGAAATGTGATGTTTTTGGATAAATAATATTAGCAAAACAAAACATTCAAACTGACTTTATGCTTCACATAATATTCAGGCATATCAACTTTATGGCTAACATTAAGGAAGGAAACAGGATTTTGCAGAAAATGTATTCACTTAAAAATGCAAACCTAATGCTGCCAGTTTAGTTCTCATGTGGAGTATTTTTCTACTATAGCTTAGACTGTATAAACAAGTAGAGACAAACAACTTGAAAACATTCAAATGTTTTATTTTTGTGGAAAATCCAGACAAGCACAACTGACAGCTAGAAAATATAAAAGCTGCCCAACAAGCTGAAGAGACATAATATCCCTCACATTTGATGTATAAAATAACACCAGACACATTTCCATTTATATGACAACATCAGGCAGTCAGAGCACAGCAGGAGCTGCCTGACAATGAACACAAGTGCTCACCCTGTGAGGAGGAGGTGGTGGTGGATGGTTTGTTCAGTATAGATCTGTTTAAAAGCTTAAAATTTCAAAATACCAGACAGGAAAAGACTGACCATTTACAAAACTGCCAAACCTGAACCCTCTAAAAAAGACTATTTGACACAGTAGGCTGATGTACTAGTACTGTGAAACAAATGCTAGATTCTTGTGTTATTTAGCTGTCAATTCTAATTAACTGTAACAAATTAAAAGGAAAAGTGATCCTTTAAACTGAAAAGGCTTTTGTTCTAACTGCAATAGCTTTTGAAATTTTACAAACAAACTGCTGAACCTGCTCCTTTGTGCCTGTGAGACAGCCTTTTGTACGTTATTGGATAAGATAAACCAAAGTATCTCCAATGTCTACAGTGAGGCCGTTGTCAGCCAGAGTGACCTTCTTCTCATCCAGATTTATATTGAACACAGATTTGCTGGAGATGGGCAGCTTGCCTTGCTCCTCCTGTCCCAATATGGGGACACGCCGTGAGCCCAGTACAGGATCCTCATACCTCATCAGCTTCACTCTGGACAGATCTAGTGGTGAGGTTAAGAAAACAAGAGTCAGGATATGCAGAAAATTAAGATAAAAAATAAATAAATAAAAAACAGAAAATAGACAAAAAAGACAAAGTATGGGTTAAAGGGGAAATAGATGGAAGGAAGTGAGATAAAACAAAATGTGGTCATGAATTGGATGACATAGTCACAAAGTTCATGTTGATTTATAGGAGCCATATTTTTCCCCAGACAGAGTTGAAGTGTTGTGCAAGATTACGAGTGATCATAAAAACCCCAATAAAAATATGACGGACATAACAGAAACCTTTGGTAAAAAATGAAAGAAAGGACTACTAATTCAAAAAAACACTATACTTAATACTGTTAAGTATTAGACAAATACTTAACAGACATGCATAAATGTGTTTTAAATCATGGTGATTAACATGAACACAAATGAGTTAAGTTGTTTCTTAACATCTAAACTTTGTGTTTGAGGAATTGTGAACCCATTTTGATATTAATAACAAAACAACACGAAACTGCTTTAATCAGAAAATTTGATGCCCGACTATTTATTGCTTTTTGTATTTAATAGATTAGAAAATGATTGAGCAATAAGAGACATTTTCTCTTATATATAAGAGAAAAACAATTATATATATATGAAAAACAATCACAGTGAGATAAATCTTTAAATAAATCTTCAAACTGCTTTACAATACATGTTTCATTAAGGTTTCGTATTTATTCTTTATGAGCAATGCTCTTCCAAGACAGTAACAATTACGCTTTTCTTTAAAGCCTGAATGGCTGATTCTGAATTACATCTATTTGAATGTTATGATTTCAAACTACAACTTGGCTGTTGCATTTATAGTCCAAAAAATAAGGAGTTTTACTTAAAAAAGATAAAAATATATATATATTTTAATATCAACAAATTAAGAAAGTTAATTAACCTGACTACCTGTCAGGTTAATCGTAAAAAGTGAATAAATTACAAAACAACTAATGCAGCACAATAAAATTTTCTTTAGACTGCATGATGTTCTGGCTTCGTTGACCTAATCTTACTAAATTTGTAACAGCTGGACTTCCAAGCTGTGGGCAAATCTCAGGGGTAATTTCAGCAATCAGCATGCATCTAGCTGCAGTTTACATTGCAAAAACGTCAAAATACTAGTGAATGAGCCATTTTCGTTTTCTACATTTCTATACTGGCAGATGGCAAAGGCTCAGAGAAGTAATTTCCGAGGCAGATTTGTAAACAACGTGCATCTGAATTTGCTTATCCACCAGGAGGTGTGACAAACCAAAAATATGAATCTGCACAACTCCGAAGTGACTCACTGGTTTACAGATTATTTTATCAAAACAGAATGGATACTCTCTAAAATACAGATTTATAATAAGACGTTTTTGGGCTTCAAAATGATACAATCATGTTAGTAATCTGTGTTGCTAACCTTTTATGAGTCTGTTGACTTTGGCTAGTCGACGGACAATGGCGTCTTTGCTGTCTCCCTGCCGGATGTCGAGCTTTGTGGAAAACAGGCCGGTGAATGGTTGAGGGTTGACCAGGGACACGGCTACTCCAGGCTGGGAAGGAACAAGAAAGTTTATTTTGCTATCATTTTGTTAATCATCAACATAAAGACAACAAACCTGCAGTTGAACATAAAAATAGTATCTGCTGACATTCATAAAACATTCAGAAATAACTATTTTGTGTCTTTTTTTTCCCTTTTTTTGCATCCATCACACATCAGGAGCCTTTACCTCTGATCTAAACACACAGAACGGTTTCCCAGGGCAACAATCCTCCTTCACTTTGTCATCAGCCTCTGATGCAAATAAGACATCAATCTGCTCCAACTGTATGGGGGGGAGACAGGAGAAAACATATCAGTGCACAGCTGAGCAGACTATCCACAACGGTGCTTTGCTTAGATGTTTTGTGTGTGTTTGCTCTACTGACACAGACCGGCAGTGTTAACTCGACTCTGACAGTAATCCCAGACTTATCGCCTGGTCTTACACCAGAATATCACACATTTTGTGTATTTTTGGAGAGAAAACAGCAACTGGAGGTTAAACTAAATGTAAAACAGAATACTGAACAGAGATGCACAACAGAATTTTTTTACTACTATTATTATTTTTTTTTTTTACACCATTTGCTCATTTAGTTTCCAATGCAAAGCATGCTGCACCCAGCATGCTTTACATTGGATGGAATTTGGCCTCTGCATTTTACCATTATTTTTATCCATGTGGACAGGCTGGGAGCAATCTAAGGCCACTTTATTACTTAGAAAGCATCAGCTCCCCGGTGATCTGAGTTCAGCAGAAGCCATTTTATAGCAGCAAACTGAAGTCATTTAACCATCTACACCTCTTCTCTGCTGACCGTTCTTTTTTCAGTGAAGTATCACTGATGGGACCCTTGTCTAACTACTGGTTTGTGCAGCAAGAAATACACCACGTAATATCCAGTCCTTCAAATGCACAACAATTCTAGGTTAGCTTATTAGTTTACTGTGTAAACATATAGGTTTAATTTTTTAAATATGTGTAAGTTTGTAAACAAAATATTATCTGGAGTTGTAGGTTTAGTTATTTGTCAGTACTAAGCCTTTAAGGAGAAAAATACAGTCGGTTACAGATAAATATTACAGAAAATCATTGCTAGGTTGGTCACAGAACATTGTGAACAACAAAAGATACAACTTTGTGTTTGTTGAATCTGAAGAGAGTAAAGTGACAGACCTCCAGAGAATTTGTTAAGTACACCAGGTTCTCCGTGAGAACCGTTCGCTCATCAAACTCCAGCTCTAGATCCAAAACCCTGGGTCCGTTTTTCTCCAGGTTCTCCTAAAAAACACAAACGCAATCAAACAGTAAGTAGGATGTGATTATGATGCTAAAAGTACTAACAACTCAGCTGCAGAGAATAATTATTGAAAACCGGACACTTTACTCTAAATGCACACCATCTGCAGGATGAGCTTAAAAGTCGTAAAGAGCCATAAATAAATAAAGAAGCTTATCATGAATATTACCAGCGTTATTCTGTTTGATCACTTGAATAAAGACTAATGCACCTAAGAGAAGTGACTCATACATTTTTAAAAGAGAAATGCCTTTGATCAGCATTATTATTAGCTGCTGTAATCAAACTATATATATATAGATATATATATATCTATATATATATATAGATATATATATATTATCTCTCTCTCTCTCTCTCTCTCTCTCTCTCTCTCTCTCTCTCTCTCTCTCTCTCTCTCTCTCTCTCTATATATATATATATATATATAGTCAAGCTCTTAATTAGGTAAGAAAAGCACAATCTTTGATGACATTTTAGTGCAGGTATAACATTGTTCTGCCCACCATTGAATGCTTCACACTGACTATGCATTATAATAACATATACAAAACATTAGCTACCTTAACCCTACCACAGGAGACAGTTCAAAATGGGAATATATCTTAATGATGAAAAATACATTTTAAGATAATCTTGTGTTTGTGAAAGTTTGGAGTAATTTTCACAAAAACTGGACAAAAAATCTGCTAAATTCTACAGACCTGCATTAGTAAATAAAAAATATATAGTTTTTATGCATTAACAGGGATAAATCTCATGACTGCATCTTTTCTAAAATATTCAATCAATCAAAAAAAACCTACAACATATTAGTTTCACATTAGACTTACTAGGCCTTAAAACAAAGAAGAGAAGAAGTGGTCAAAATCACAATCAAAAACTGGTATTTGCCTCAATAATGTTCTTTCAATGTGACCCTTAAAACTAATAATAAATACCTTGATCATGGCAACAAATGGCATGACTCTCTTCATGTACTTCTTCAGCTCTGGGAGGCCTCCCAACTCGCTGGCTATGACTTTGTTGTCTGGCAGGATCCCGTTGTTGCTCTGGTCACAAACACAAAGAGGTGCCACAGATTTAAACAAAAGCTGAGTGTGAACAGTCAGAAGAAAAGGACAGCTGGACGAGTCCCAGGATTAACTTGCATTGTGTCTTAAATACAATTATATAAAAAATAAAGAGCAAAAAAAACGTTGTTCTGAGGAAGGTTTCTTTTTTTATTTATTTTTACCTTGTAGTGCTTGCCGAGCAGAGATAAGGCGCTGTGTTGCCATGGAGGGTAGCTCTTAGCCACATAAATAGTGCAGTGGGACGGCTTAGCAGGGGGCTTAGAGTCACCTTTCTATGAAAGGAGGAAAATGCATTTAAGAAAAAATAAATAAATAAAAATAACCTTTTAGATGTGATGGATTCGTTGTTAACTCACAACACTAGGTGGTCGCAATGGAATACAACTTTGGTGTTACTTAGGATGATATAACAAATGCATATGCTTTTTGATCCTCATAGGAGAGTGATTGGTTCATTTAATTTACATGGCAGCTCTGTACCTACAGATTGTACCACATGAGTCATGATGGGAAAAAGATTCATAGTAGAAATATAATTTCTATAAAGTCACATGGCTTTTTAGCTCAATTAATTGTGCATAATTTACATTTAATTGAAACAAAATATTTGTTTCAAGCTATTTTAGTCATTTTTAAATAAGCATATTACACAAGTGACAGATGGAACCTTTCAGGGCTAATATAAAATATATTATCAGAAATCTCTACTTTCTAACAAAGATCAAATATGAAACTATATCATAAAATTAAAGTCAGTCCATCTAGTTGTTTGTTTCCCTCTTTTCCTATTCTCTCCCAGTTCTGCCCCTGTACTCCCAAAACATTGGTAACAAATCAATAACTTCGGCCTGGAAGCCCAAGATATCACCTGTCTTAGATAACATTGTCAATACCTGCTTTGTTTTTCCCTCTCAGCTGCAGAAATCCACATAATGAACAGACAAACTTTTCCATTGTGAACACAAGACTTAACACTTTTGGTTTATCTAAAAGGATAACAGCTGTTGCAGGAAGCTCGACGTCAATAATCCACACCTGCTGCATTTCAGGCATGACGCACAGAGAAAGAAAGAAAACCCCAAAGCAACATTTCTTGTTTCATTTTGCTTCTGAAACCAGTAAAAACGTGGTACATCCTTTTTACCCTGATGGTCAAGAAAAAAAATTCTCATTTGTATTAAAAAAAAAAAAAAATTCTAAACAAAGGCCTTCTCTAGTCTGACGTCTTTTTTATTATTCATTTTTTCCACCATTGTTGTGCTTCCCGTGCAAACAATAATGAACTGTGAAACATCTGTTGACAGAGAAAAAACACTCCAGTTTCAGACTGTTGGGAGTTTTTGTGCACAAAAGGTTTGGTTTTCATTCAACAAGGAACAAAAGAAACGATGAAAAGAATGCGATCAATTTTAAAATTGATTTTTACTCTTACAAAAAGCCCTATCTACAATGTAAAGAACATGCAATAGCTTTTACATGTTTCAGAATGTTAAATTTAAATGTGAAACCTTTCCAAGGTCCTCAAAATTTAAATTTAATACCTATGTGAATAAGACATTTTATCAATTGATAACTAATCTTTAATGATAAACAACATAGGTGGTTTTGATTTTAACTCCCTAAAGCCAGACGTGTTGTGTTAGTTTTGTCAAAGGATAAACCGAAAACTCCAGAATTTATGAGAAAGTGATTTATAAAACAGAATAAAAAATATGCAACAAGTTGGATTTCTCACTAAAATCTGTTTCTGAAAGCATAAAGGTTCACTGAAGAAACTGCGAATTAGTAAGCACATGGATTTAGGACACAACCAAATATATTATACCTTGTTTTTGGGAGGAAGCATGTATGCTTTGAGTCTCAAACGGAGGTCGTGTGCCGTCTCCATCAGGTACTGAGAAGAACGAATCAGAACCTCATCGACAGGGCCGGCCACGGGCCACGATGCCTTCATTAAAGAACCGGTCTGTGAGAGGCAAGCAGGAGAAGAGTGAAAGGAGATTCTTATTTTTAAAAAGTAGAAACAAAAACTGGTCTCATCAATTACATAATCAAAAGCAACAGTGCTTATGTAACGCCCCCAGCAGGAATCAGTTGTGCTTGAGTGTGTGGAAAAACAACATATGATTTCAGCTTGTGGTACCAAGCGCAGGATGAGGGAAAAATAAAGGTAGTTGAGGGGGGCTCTTTTGTTGTTGCTAAGCAACAACTGAAAAACATGTCTCCAACACAGCAACACTCCTTTATATTCACAAATTTGAGTGTTAAAAATATTCATGGCTCTCAGTGCTACAGGAAACATGTAACAGTGAGCGCACTTGCTTCATGGTGCAGAGGAAATGGCTCAGTGTGAGACAGGCTCCCAGCAGACTTGGATTTCACCAGTGCAAACTTGTCAGTAGCCATTTCACACCAGTAAATGAGCAGTGGGAACAAGTGCTACTGCAGGCCAGCCGTGAACCTGAAAGTTTAAGCTTGCCAATCCCAGGTGCTCTTCATGAATGTAAATTAACACATTACGGTGACCCGTTTTGGTTGGCTGCATTTCTCTGTTGTATGTAAAAGTCTATGACGAGGAAAAAGCCCAAAGAGAGGATGGGAGGAAAGAATCACAGCCAGATTTATACCCTGAGAGCACTCTGTGAACACTAAAAGCAGAGAAATACCCAAAGTCTGTGTTACATACCTTGCCCAGTAGACTCCATGTGTATTCACAGAGGTGTGGACAGATGGGGGCCAGCAGCAGTGTTTGTCTCTCTATGAACTGGAAGACAAGATCTCTGTGCATGCCTTCAATAGCCAGCTCACGGTACTTATCTTTAGCCGCCTAAAGCAAAAACATAAACAATTTCAAACTTCCACATCAGTTACAATATGCACAATGCTTCAACAACAAAACAATAGTACTATCATTGATAAGTGCTTAGAAATGGATACATGAAAAAGTAAAAGGTGATGAAGAAAAACAGATCAGTAAGAGTCAGTGTATACTGTAGTAGCATGATCCAACAGGAACAAAACAAAATAAATGTGCTTTCTGTCAAAGCTGATCCGATTTGCATATTAACTTAAATGACTTCTTAATAGAATTGTGTTTAATCAGAGCTATTCCTCTGATGCATCACTCAATTGTTTTTTGATATCAACCAAGAATTTCATGAGGCATTCCTTTAGAATCAGCATCAATAACAGCAAGCATGTTCAGTTTAGAAGATGTCAAGATTTACTAAGATTAACTATTCTCAGTACTGGTACGGTTTTTCATATAAAGCAAATGGTATAAAGAATATAACATATTTTTTAGGGTCGCAAATAACAGACTAATCATATCACAGCAGCCGGAATGCTTCATCTTCTTTGAGTTTGTAAACACATCTGTTATGGAGAATGCTGAATTTGAAAATGTTGGCAGAATTTTAGAAATTTGAGCTGAGGAAGTTTAAGTTTTTTTATCAAGTACATAAAGAGACTGCTGTGTTTGATGTCATTACAAACCACACTAATAACGAACAGAGGAAAGAAATGCAAAATTAGTAATCTTTTAAAGGTAGAAAAACTAAAAAATTAAAAAAACAAACATATTGTAGGCTGGATCACATTGAGAACTATTTATAAACACCTCTTAGACCTTTAAACCCTTGCCTTCCAAGTTTTAATTGCTATTTTTTTTTTATAACAATTACAGAGACTTTAATGGTTCATAACACGTCTCATAATAGCGTAACCTCAACTCTTTAGAGACATTCTTATTTTTTGAGCTAAAGACATTTCTCAGAAAGTTAATGTACTTACCTGGAACTCAAAAAAGCCGCTCTTCAAAGCCTCCTTGTACATCATCCTCTCATAATGCTGCTCTGTCTTCAAGATGCCTGCATTCATTTCACTGGAGAAAAGATAAAGTCCATGCAATTATATTATATAAAGACATAAGAATAGCATGAGCTGTTGCTCTGGAGATAAAATGCTCATTTTCATAAAACCTCAGTGTTTAGGGTGAATTTTAATCAAATTCAAAACAATTTTTAACAAAAATTAAGAGAAAACAGAATTATTATGAATACGGACTCCAGATAATATGAAACAAAATACATACCATCTAGCTTAACTTGAACATTTTATCAAGTTCTTGATCTTTACAAACCTCATTACTTAGCTCATTTTACTGCATACCTTGCAAACACACGATCGTTGAACGTGTCCGCAGGCCCCGTCCTCAGGTTGTTCTGGTTGGCAATCATCTCCTTCACCCACTCCACCCAAGTGTAGAGACGAAGAATGCCAGCGTCAGCCATGGTCTCCACAAAGTTAGCGTCTTCTATCGTGTCCCCAGCATCAGCTAGAGCCAGACGCATACCTGAAAAGAACAAAGTGATGCAAAATCCACAGAACACAAACTTCACTTAGATTATGTAGTCTGAAAAATGGGTTGTGTTTAAAACAAATGTGTTTTGTGCACACACACAAAGCAAACACCATGCAGAGCACTTCCTAAGTTTATAATTTGCTTTATTGAAACTGGGGATACAGAATGCATTTGCATTAATGTCATTTTTTAACATGTGAGTGTCTGTTCCATTAATAAAAGTGGGCTGATATTAATAACTGATTTCCATTTTTCTCTTGTTTTTACTTATGTACGTGTTTCCGGTTGAGGAGGGGGGGTTGGTCATGTGGTGTTTGTTTGGTCATATGACAGTGACGCAGCACAGGAAGTGGAAATGAGGAGGGAAATATATTCAACATTAGTAAATATCAGTTATAAGTCATAACATCACTAATAATATTGAATATTGATATAAATATTGCAACTTTTTGAATTGGTGAATCTTTAATTTCTGTTTCTCTAAAGGCTTTGGAGAAAGAGAACCTTTTATTTCAAAAATATTGTATTCAAAAATATTTTGATGATGGTCTAGGTAATACTTGTAGCAGTTCACACAAACACAGCACACAAGATTTTTTTTTTTAACATATCCAAATGAATTCTTATTGGCCCCTATGATAATCCTAAAATTGTCTCTACTTTTTTGTTTCTATTTTGAAGGCAGCCTCTTGAGTCAACTATGTGAATGCATGATTTAGGATTTAGGACACATAATCTGACTACCCAAGCACAATAAAAATTATTTAGCCCGCATGCATCGGGCATTATTTGTGGTTCTTTTAAATGTTTTATAAGAATATTCAAACTTAAGCAAACACTAACCTACTTTCATGCTGCAATTAAGAGTTGCTATAGGCTGTTATGAACAGCTTAAAAAAAAAAAAGCTGTGTTTAGATTTTCATAACAGCCTGGAGCAACTCTAATTGTAACCTCGGAATACAATTGTGCTCATGTTCAATTATAACCACGACTTGGACAGAAAATGTTTACAACATAATCCAGTGGAATACCCTATGTAGTGTAAATATACATTGTAATGGGCAAGGAAACTCTTACGAGGAGAAAAGAAGAAAAGATTGAAGATGATACATAAAATGCAAAAACATCCAGAATAGATGAAGAAATTGACATTACCGTCAGCTGAAAACTTGCTGATGGCTTGGCTGAGAGTGAGAAAGTTTCCTGTTGATTTGGACATCTAGTAAAAGAACGAAACCATTTTTTTCCATACAAGTTCAAAACAGATGCATTGAATCAGAACTCTAGATAAAAACTCATCATCTTCAGATGACTAAAAAGTAGGTGCATATTAAAAACAGAAATACTAAAAATGAATTGATTTTTTAATAAATCAGTTTTTTGCACCAAAGAGTGCAAACAACTCTTTGAAGTTTTTTAAATGTGTATATATTTGAAATTTTAAAATGGCATTTGTGACTGTATACAAAATAAACCAGAAATTATTGCAAGGTAATGCAAAATAAAACTTTTCCTATGTCCTCTCGAGGGCTTTGTGACAAACTACTTCCAGCTTTAGTCATAAAAAACAATTACCTTAAACAACAAAACAAAAATGCAGAATGGTTATTTAAAGTCTGAATTTCGCAAAAAATACATTTAAAGATTTATTTCTAAATCTTTCATAAAAACAAAATATTTTCTGCCTTCATCCAAAAAATAAAGAAGCAAAATTGCTTTATATTGTCTTCAGGTTTTAGTATCACTAAAAATAAAAAAAAATTATTATGATCTAAAAATGCTTGACTTACCTTTTCCGAGTTAAGGAGCAGGTGTCCGTTTGCTCGAACTGCTTGAGGCCACTTTCCACTGTAATAGAAAAAAAAACATTAATTCTATTAATGTTGGGTTTCCAAAATAAATTTCCTCCCCCGTTGTTTTGCTGATGGTGGAGAGCAGCACCTGAAACTTTGTTGAAAAATATAAAACAAAAATACAGTTTAGGCTCTGTTAGTGCTCCACGCCTCATTATTCAAAAAGTTTCAAGTCATTTGGAGACTTCATCCCCCACATCAATGGTTCTCTAAGAAACTTCTGTAAAGAATAGAAATGTTTTCAGCACAAAGGCATTACAGGGAAATAAAATATAAACATTGACTCAAGTGTGAAGAACATTCACAATGGTACACATTGGAGTGGCTGAAATCTGTAACAATTTGCACAAACCATAACAAAACCTGATTTTTTTTTTTTAAGCGCTTGTGAATTATAATCCAGAAACATGGACAACAACATTAGTCTCACAAGAAAAAAGATGGACTGCAACAAATTTTGACTCACTATCCTCCGGGTGCAGACCTCTACAGTGTGTGTAGAACTTGATCAGTTAAAAAATAAATAAATAAATAAAATTAAATTAAAAAAAAATATATATATATATATATATATATATATATAAAAAAATTAAATCAAAGTCGTGTCCACTATCTTGATGTGCAAAGTTGAGAGAGAAAAAACAACAACAGCAGCAGGTGAACTAGAGAATGATTTCACAAAGCACAGGGCTGAACACACACCACACTGAAACCACATTTCTAAAACCAACTTGATATTTCTTACATTTCATAGTTTTGTATTCCTTTGCATTGGTATATTAAATTAAATCCCCAAAACACAAGAGTTTATGGCATAATGTGTCAAAATGTGATAAAAATAAATAAGCAAGGGTATTTTTGAAAGGCATTGTAATAATTCACATTTTTCATGTGAATTATAACTCCCAACTTTAAACTAAATAAATAAAACTAAAAGTTTAACCCACATTATACCGGCAGGTCAAACAGGAAAAACTCACCTGTCTTTGGGCCACATGGCTACATGGTTATACAGATAATAGGAGAGGTGGTTGGGCACAAGATCCTTTCCAGACACACGGACATCCACAGGGTACCAGTACTCAAACTCCCTCCGCAGCCTCTGTAGATGCTCCTTAGGGATGTCGGTCTTGGGAAAAGGAGACGACTTAAAGAAGATAAAGTCCCACACCTCTCTAGTCATCTGCTCTGGCCTGTCAAAGAATGAAAACATGGCTAAGGGCAGGAGGAACAGAATACTGGGCTTATGTGCATTAAATGCTGGGGGTGAATATAAGCTTTAACGAATCTAGTATTCTACTGAGAGAGCGATGTATTTAGGTGCTTATAGCAAACTTCAGTGATACGAAGTTGTGGATTCCAGCATCAGTTTTCTTCATTTGTTTCATGTTAGAAGATGTTTTTAAAGAGTCTGCTCTATTCTAACTCTCTGGAATTAAATGTCTGGTTGATTGTTGCAGAGAAAAAAGGAAACAAAGAAAACAAGGAGTGAAAAAAACAACAACACACAAATAGCTTCAAGTTCTAGATTTCCTTTAAGTGCAGGTCTGTGTGTGACGAATAATTACTTGATGCCCAGTGGAGAGTCCCCTTGTCCATTCAGCACACCTCCCTGGAGGAGGTGGGCGACAGTGTAGTAAGCCATATAGATTGTGGAGTCTGATAAAGACTCGATCAGCCACTGCTCGTCCCAAGGCAGCCGTGTTCCTATGGTAACACAGACAGACAACCAAAGATACATAACAAAAATACTTTGAAAGATGAAATAATATTTATTACTTTGTACTGATTAAATGTTTAAGACTGCTAATTAAATAAATCAGCAGTCTTGTTCCACTTGGTTCACATTCTGACAAAAGAATTCTTGGTAGATAACCAAGGATTTGGATTGAGTTGTGTAATCCTTCCAAAAATAAACAGCGATGCAATCTGGTGATGCCAGAAGACAAAACCACAAGTAATCTCTAAACAGCTGTTATGACAGATAACCTGGATTTTATATACTTTAAAAAATTAGCAATGGTGAAGAAGAGCAAAAACCCATTTTTAGTTTGTTTTTAGATTCAGATCCTCTTGGCTCATCTTTTTGTATTAAAAGTATTGATGGAAAATGATGGTATCAGTTACCATACTAGAGAAAAACAATTAGGCATCATGTGATAATCAGCAAGAAACTCCAACTTAAATCTCTGAATGAATGTGTCATTTAAACTTTTTGACCCATTTCCACTATTAGTTCCTGGAGGGCATGCATAACTGCTCTATATACGCTCCAAAATATAGCTGATTTGCAATTATTATTTTTAGAGTACTATTTACATTTGTTAAGCAGTGACACATTTTAGCCAAAAACAGATTTTTTAGATTCTTTTTCACAATACTGAGATTTCAATAAATGCAACATCTATTATTTCTGTGTTGTCCTTATTCTGTATTGTAATGTTTGCACTACATCAAATCCATTTTTATGTCTTCAAATTATAAAACTCTAGCTGTCTATCAAATATTTCATTTATTTTTTGAAAAAAACTTTAATAAAACATTGAATCTATAAGAATGCAGGATATATAAAGTATTTTATTCAGGTTCCATACTGCATCTATTCTTACAGGAACACAAGCTAGGGCTAGATGCTCTGTGACCAGGCCTTTGTCTCCATCTGTAGACAGAAAATCTTTACACAAGCAGCAGTTTGAAACTTTCAGGTATCACACTGTTCTCTTACATCTTTTAAATGGTTGCATGTCAGGTAAACAAGAAACAAAGAATAAATAGAATTATGGGTATTTTTTTATGTTGTTGAACATATTACACAAAACTGTACACTAGTCTACCTACCAAGTCCATAGGTGCGAGAGCAAGCATGTTCCTGTAGCCAGGCTAAAGTAGCCTCAAAGTTTCTTCTTGTCTCCTCACAAAATCTAGAATTTTGTACACAAAAAATACAGAGTAGGTCAATTATTTTGACCTTGCAATGTTTTATCTTTTCTTCTAATTTTTTTCAGCCGTTTCCAAAAATGCTTAAGAACAATGGAGATAAATATGCATTTCCATTATAGCAAACAAGCATTTCTGACTTGTTATATGACCCCTGAGAAATTGGCTCAAACCACAGGAAACAAACAAAAAATATTTAGATAATGAAGTCATTGCTTTTACGTTTCCAGAGACTTGAGGGCTGCACTGGCCTGCTGCTTCCACTCAGCATCCCCGTAGTCCAAATACCTGTCCAAATACGAAAACGATAGTTGTATAGATCTTTTTAGAAACTGAAGCAAAACACAAATCTAAAATTCTCTACAAAGAATGAACGAAATAGAGCATGTATCTTAGATAAAAATTCAAAACACTCAATACCCAAAAATAGAAATAAAAATGTAGTCAAATGACAAAAATACAATTCTATATAACAAATATTGCTCTTACCACTGGTCACAAAGTGCCACCACACACTCATCAGCTGAACGTGACATGACCTGTTTCTCAGGCTCCATGTAAATCAAGGCCTCACCCTGTAACAAATAAACATTAAAGTAATATGAAAACATGCATTCTACAAACACCCCATGCTAACACATCTGTGCACAGATGTATGAAGAACTAAATCCAGATGAAGTTAAGCATGGTACCTTCTCAACCATCATCCTCTGGATCGGCTTCTTCACATCTTGAACCTTCTGCCCCTTGTATCCCTCAACTAGCATGATCTAAGACATTTATTCACAAAAGTTCATTAATATTAATGAAATTTAATTATTTTAAAACTTCTTACATCAATAAGTGGGCAATGTATCTGTAGAGTTTCAAGACAAACCGGAATTGTGTGCAACAATTTATTAACACGACAACTTTGTGACATGAAACAAAACAAGCTCTTAATAAAGAAAAAAAACAATCAAAACCAGTTGAAAGAAATGCAAACATCAGTGGACAATTTTATATTCATAAAGGATTTATAAAGAAACTTTTCAAACCTAAAGGTAAATCCTCATGTAGTTGTTTGAAACCTACCCCTTCATAAAATCCCTTCAGGTAAACCTTTTCTTTGGCTTCAGCCAGTTTGTCTTTGTCATTTTGGCTCTGGATCTTCAGCTCATCACAGACGAGAGGGGCTGAAAGGTTTCCAAAGCCTGGGATTTCAATGATGGGGACCTGAGGTGTAGGCATTTAGAAATTATAAATAATGTTATACTGGGAAAGTACCATTAAATAAGTATGTTCAGTGTAAGTGAAACCAAAATTACTTTTATAAGAGTCACTTACCGGCTCAAAAGGCAACACCATCTTATCCTCAATTCCATATTTTTCCCTCAGAGCCTTTGGGAAATGCAAGAATTAATAATTATTTATTTAATTTTTTTCAATGAATTCTCAATGAAATGCACAGCAGACATTATTTAAGCAGAAAAAGATTCACATAGGTGTTATTCTCTTAGAGCAGAAGGTTATGTCACCTGCTTCTTTTTGATGTCCCTGAGAGCAGCAATGTCATCAGGAGCATCAGACGGCACGCTGGTAACAACCCCAGTACCTGGAGACAAGGAGAAAAAAAGTTCAAGAAAATGCACATGAACGAAACTAATTTATTTCATTTTACTTGGTTCCAAATCTAATAAATGCCCCATGCTGCCACATTTCATTATCTGCTGTGCAGCAAGCACTGGAGCAACAAACGAACTGTGAAAAAGGACACACAAACATGATCTCATTTACTGTTGCTCATTACACTCCATAACCCTTCTAGACAAGATGACAGATTGAGCATGAGAAATTCATTATTATTCATATGGATATTGTGACATTTCGATTTAGTGATTCAGAAATTCAATTTATGAATATTTACAGAAATCCATCAACAGGGCAAAGAATTACTTAGGAGCAAACAGCAGCTTTTCAGCAACAAATGCTAAAAATAAAATGTTTGCAATAATAAAGGTCTATTTCGACCAATTAAACTCCAAGTGAAGAAAAACAGAAAAACATTCAATATCTCATCAGGACATCACTATATACACCTGTTAAAGGATTCAAACCCCTTCAAATTTGTTACATTAACTTGTGACAAAAGTGTTTAGGGCATTTGTAGCCAATTCCTCTTAATTGACTGTAATATAATCTGAAATATAATGTATCTTACCCATTGAAAAATTGCAAAAAACAAACAAAACAACAATGTTTGACAAAAACTAAACAAGCGCATGATAGCTAAACAGACTAAATACGAGAGATCTAAAAAATTGTTATAGCAACAGTGGCAAACAGACTAATACAAATTAATGCAGTAAAGAACTATATTCATAAATTTTGAAGGACTCATACCTTTGTCCTCCTTAATGGTGAGCATTGGCAAAGCATAGATGATCTTATAGGAGGTCAGAGGAGCACTTAGGGCACAGCCAAGGATGTCCTAAACAAAGAAGCAATGTTATGTCAGTGAAAACTTATGCTCCTTTAAGAATCATATTTCAATTCAGATTCAAAGTTCATGTTTGTAGGAAACTCAGAATCAACTGACAAGTAGCAAATTATTGTGGATTATATTTTAGATGCACTTACATTTATACATGGCTGCTAAACATTTTTGAGCTCTTATTAAGGACATTATGACTGAAACTTACAACCTCCATGTAAACCATTAACTTCATAAGTTAGACAAGTTTTCAGCTCTAGTTTGTGATTGTTTAAAATACAGTAAGTTTCATTACAGTTACTGAAGGCAAGTTTTAGTCAGGTATTGAAATCTCTGCCTTAAAAGGCAGATGTTAATAAATACCATCTTCCTTGACAGAAAACCTGGCAGTGGATGAAGTAAAAATGATGTTCAGATTCCAATTCCCCTAACAACTATAACCCAGTTTCAGGAGCTTCCAGTAACAGACTGAATCCTAACCTTCTCCACAATCTTTCTGAAGGGGCTATTTGCTGCTCTTCATCATAGGCATGTGGTTTTTTTTCACAGCATTTCAACACCAGTCAGAACTACGTCACACAGAATGGATGATAACCATTCGTGCAGTCTGAGAGGAAATGTCACTCTGACAAGGAGCTGAATCCTCTGAATAGAGCACAGAGAACAGCCTGAAACTGGTCAGTCTGAGCTTATCACAGGCAGCCTTTTGATAATTCAAAATGTTCTTCTCTTCATCCATGTAGAACTTCTTTTTCCCTCTGAATAAATGTGAAAACAGATAAGTTCATCGCTTCTTTTGTATAACTGTTGTCCTGGAGTTATTTTGATCTAGAACATGTCAGATATTGAGGCTTTGTTTCTTAATTAAATAATTTATCTCCCAAATCAAAATGCAAATTAGTCTGGCAAACTATCAACATGGCTTCCTGCCTCTCTCTCACTCGTCTAGACTTTTTATTATTATCTTAGTATCTCTTCTGTTTGTTGGGTGCAAAACATTACAGGCTCTCTACCTGCCCAAGTATTTCCATGATCACTGGCACCACTCCATTCTCCTTGGTGAAGCCCTGGAAGGACATGTTTCTGGCAGACCTCCTGGTGGAGATGAAGACGTCTCCGTTGGCCGTTTCAAAGGCGACATACGTCATGTCGGGTCTTATCCAGCAGTTGGTCTGACCGAACATGGTTTCTGGTCTCAGAGTGGCAGCAACCAGGAAGATGTTTTTGCCTTTCATACCACTGTGGGGAGGACAGCAAGTATTCAAATCTGACTATTTGTGAAGAATTAGTATATTCAGTAATATTAGTTTCAAATTCATTTACATAAACTTGATAAAAAATAAAAATAAAAAAATCCTAGGAAATTGCAAAAAGAAAAGAAGAGGAGTCATCACACAATTCAGTTCAAACAAGCAATTTGGCAACAGGAAATTATGAGATTATGCGTTTAAAAGCCAGTGCAAAAAAGAAAACAAGAATTAGCTTAGTCACCAATACATATCATAGCAAGTAAGACCAGTCATGATATTTTACCTGCTATAAAACACTTTGGATTTAAATTTTGCAGTGTAAGGTTCAACCACCTTCATCTTGATGAGTGTGTATTCCTGAGGTCCCACACCCTGCAAAATACAAAAATTAAACAAAATGTTACACTTTGGTCATCATAGTGTGAATAAGGTTACATTTGATGTCTTTGAATGAAAAACAAATTTATATTGAATCACAAGCCATCAGTTTAGATAAACTGGTGTTATAATATAGCTGAATATTTTAAATGCATAGTAAATTGAATAAACATTGTTTATGCACACTACAACATTTTGAATTTGGTGTTTGATACTTTAATAAGCACAATGTGCATACCTCCCCAGTTTGCCTGTCATGATCCATGCATGGCTGTCCGTCCTTGGGAGAGTAGATGGTGTACCTGTAGAGAGGTAAACAATATTCAGACTAAACTCCACTGAAACAACTTTAAAGTTAGTTGTCATCCTTTATTTTTCATAAACACTCCATGAAACTGGTTTTACATTCAATTGGTAACAAGGAAGACAACATAGAACAGGAAAATATGCTGCCTTACTAAAGTGTCCACAACCCCGGAGCATATATTTTGACATTGAAGGATGCGTGGTTTTCCAAATTTTTCTTAAACAACTGAAAACATGAAGTTTGGTGTACACTGATTTCACGTCAGATTTGTTGTGCGATTCTGTCAACAGATCTCTCCAACTCCACAAGAGTTACCACCATCCTTTTGGCTTCTTCTTTACATATCAATTTTCTCTCTCTGCAGCTTGTCAGTTTTGATGGACAACCATGTCTTGGTAAGTCTGAACTTTTTTCCAAATGTATTATAGTAAAAAGAGTTAAACATAAAATGCACTCCAAACTTTATGATTTTAAAATTAAAACATTTTGAAAACACATTTAAATTTTCTTCCATTTCAAAACTATGTTCTAAATTTTGAAATTCATGTACAATATGATAAAAGTTTGTAGCTGTAACCTGACAAAACATCAACAAGTCAAAGGGGTATAAAAACGTGTGCCAAGCAGTAAAATTCAACTGATGTAAGAAATAAAAACTGCATAGGTTTATGCAACTAAACAAATGTACTACTGTTCAAAAAGCCCCAATTCAAAATGTACCTTTTGCCAAACTTGATCTTCTTCCTGTCTTTCAGGGTGAGAAAATGCCACCTGATGAAAGAGTCGTAGAAGGGGTTCACATCAGTAGTGATGAAAGACCGCCTCCAATCCACCTACGGAATAACATCTTATTAATTGTCTTTTAATTTTGATGAAAGGGTTTTACATCAATGATACAACAAAAAAAGCACAAAAGGTTCAGATTTATAGAAATCTAATTACCTTGAGTATAACCAAAATAGAAAACAAGTAATTTTGCAAGCAATAGTTTTATATGTTTAGTCACCTTAACTCCCATTTGTTTGAGGTCTTTGATTGCCAAAGGAGGGAAGTACTCCAGCCAATGTTCTGCATGAGCAAACTTGGCAATTTCATCGTCATTCAGACCTAAAGATCTCATGATGTCCCACTGATATGTGAAAGATCCAGATTTGGCCACCGCTTTACTCTGACAAAGAGATTTTCAGTCAGTGAAAACAGTTTACATGAAAGCAGTTAAAAACATACATACAAGCACAAACATAGAATACCATTCCGTTTACACAAAGACACAATTTCAATGTAGGAAATTATTTCAGCTGTCAGATGATCCCAACCTTCTTGCCCTTTGCTTTGTCCTTGATGATGATTTCATCAGCAGCTCTGGGTTTCTCCTTTTCCTCTTCATCCTCGACTGGAAACAGGGGAGGATTTCCGTACAGCTCCATCTCTCTCTTCAGCTTGTCTGCACAGGCCTGAAAAAGTAAAAAATGTATGAGACATAGCATGTGGGTGCTTTAAAATAGAGTTGGTGATGGAAATGAAGATCACATTCTCGATTGATTTAAGTGGAATACACGGAGCAGAAATGCAAATGTGATGTTACCGCAACCTACTTTCATAAAACTCTTTAACGAAAACCATCAGATTCAACATGTACTTGTTGCAGAATGCAACTTACATTAATTTTCTGGTGGGAATTCTTATTCTATTAAACATTTTATTGTTTAAAGTAAAAGCAAAGACAGATTGTAGTAACTAAAAATGAAAATAACAAGAACATGCCAACCTTGATTGGCATTCCTGTGCAGTGCAGACCAAATGGGAAGAGGCATTTCTTCCCCTTCAGAGACTGGAAGCCAACAGCAAACTGCAGGAACAAATCACAACAAGAGAAGCTCAGAGGAAAAAGTGGAAGATCTTTCAAGCAACCAGTGGAAGAGCATCCTGAAATATTTTTATGCAATATATTATTTCAACCACGGGCACATCAATAAATTTCTTAGGACGTCACACTTCTATGAACAGTCCATTAAACATTAAACTAATAATTCTCAATTAAAACCAAATTAAGCTCAGGATTCTGATTTGTTTTAACATTAAAATTACAGTGATTTTTTCTTCTTCCATACCTTGTTTTTGAATTTACAACAAGTAATACTGTTGTTTAAAAAACTGCTAACAATTTCATAAGTGAACAGAATGAACTTAATTTCTCTATGTTCACCTTAGTCTGAGTATAAAACTTACCTCACACTTTGACAAGCTGAAAGTATGGCCAAGATGCAATCGACCATTCATATACGGATAAGGAAAGGTGACAAAGTACTTGTTTTTGCTGTAAAAAAAAAAAAAAGAAAGAAAATTAAAGTTAAAATGAAAGACCTTTTAGACTCTTCCTGTTTTGGTAATTGGGGTCTTACACCAGACAGTAACATATTTGTAACTGAAGAGGCAGTTATTTGATTTTTATCCTGAAATGAAAAAATGTCACCCTAAAATTTCACATTTTATGGTGTTTCTGTAATTTCTTAACAGAAACATTTGATCTGGGTGTCATGTAAAAGTTTGTTACCCGTTTGATTAAATGCATTTAAATTCTCTCTGTACCCATGATCTCTTTCACTTCAACAGGCATCATAATTCATAATATAATAATGAGAACATATTCATTACAATAAGTTAAACATCTGCAGAAGAAATAATGTATTTAACGTTCACTGAATGCTAAAGTGTCTATAAAATATGACTTCCGTTTTGTTTCCTCAACAAAGCTAAATTTCAAGGCAAACTAAATGACAGTGACAGCAGCAACTCACTTTGAAGTTTCTCCCACAGTTGACGGTGCGTCATTCTCAAACGCTCCCTCCTTCTCCCATTTCTCCTGGATTTCCAATTCAATCTTTCTCAAGTAGTCCAACTTGGCTGTTCCCTTTCGTTCCTTGAATACAATGTTAAGCAAGCATTTACTTATTGGACAAAAATTTCAACTGTTTAAAATATCAGTGTTGATGATCATGTTGATGATGTGATAGCAAACATGACGACACTGATCTCATTTTTGCCATAAGATTTAGGCAGCTGGCTCGGGAGCTCATGCTAGCTAAAGTAGCATTCAGCTACAATAAGTTCACGCATAAAGATAGAAAGTGTTTTCATTTACTCTATAGAGGTACAAATCACTCTGAAATACATGCTTAGAACTTACCGCCATTCTGTAACAATTTCACAACCACGTGCTTTTCTGTAGCTTAAAGAGAGGAAATAATATAAAACTCTAATGACAAGAGAAACCCACGCCACCGGTGTCTGGATGATGACACCGACAGTCAGCTTTCCGCAGAGCATTCTGGGTAATGCAGTCTCCACGAGGTCTTAAGCGTTAACTTTGAAAAAACAGATAGCTGACCGCTCGATTTAAATATGGAAGGTTTTGCTAATGTTCAAATAATATGTGAATCTGCTTGTGTTAATATTTAATTATCATTTTCAAATCGACGCTTTAATATTAAATATTACAACGTCCCTCGTCAGGCCTACGTTACGACAATCCGACTCGTGTTGCCATGCCGTAAAACAGTGCGTGCGACCTGCCAGTAGAGAAGACAGAAGGCCTAAAAGCTTATAAATGTATAGACGATGAAAGTAGGGTTGACGAAGCACATTTTCTATTTATAGGCAGTATTAAAGTCTTTTTCACAATGATCATAGAAAATGTGGAAGCCTTCAAGACGTGGCTGGCAAAACTCCTGGAGCCGATGTGAGTATTGAATTGAAATGACATTTAGCTCGCATGCTACGTTAGCTGGCGAGCCTGACCAAAGCATCATTGGAGCCGTGCTATAATCAGGGCCTTTGAAGGAAGAGACCAGCTATAATCCTTGCTCACTTAGCTCAGGAAATCCACGTTTAACGTGCCTCATTTGGGGTAGTTGTATATGTTTTCCACTCCGATTTTGTAATAATTTGGTGTTAGATTTGGAGCACAAGCTGTGACTTTATCACGACTCTAGGATATTACTAAGCTCCAATGCAAGACATATAACTTGTGGTTATGTTTCTACTTGTGGCTGCAGTACAAGCTCGATGTACGTAGCTGCAGTCCGCTTTAAGCTAGTAACTTGACTTTTTGAGTTACCATAGTTACACACTCGAGTGGTACACGTAATTGTATATACGCAGACGTTTTTAAGGGTTTTTAGAAACGAAATGAATCTTGTTGGCCACTTTAGTCGCCATTGCTACGGTTTTATGTTTTTTTTTATGTCTCTATGGAAACTGACGTTTCTAAAATTTTGAATAATTGTCTGGAAGAATCAGTGGTGATGGATATTAAATGAATCCACTTGTAGATTGATCATAGTTCTGTGGCGTGCCGAATGTTTGCAAGTTGTTTGCATTGAGTTTTGTGATTAAGTAGGGTCTTTTTTTCAGTCTTTAAAAATACTGTCCATTGATCTGTGTTGCTTTCTGCTGCAAACGTTCACTTACGAAAAAAAAATCCATTTGTTTAACGAAGTATGAATTTTTACATATGCATTTCACAACATAATTGTTTCTAAAATGTGCATTGAAGAAAGCAACTACTTCTGGTTTGTGTTTACTTGAGTCAATGACATCACAAGAGACATCGGAGCTAATCAGCTGCAAATACTAGTAAACAAACTAACTCGGTTTTTTCCATTCCCACAATATTTGCACCTCTGTTCTTGAGCTTTAGCATCTTGATCCCTAACATCTTGATCAGATGTGGTCTCAAAAGAGAGTAAAAGTTCATCCAACTGCCCAAATACATCACTGGCATAAAAAGTTTGAAAGTATGAATAACTGATGTTGAACACCCTCATACATGTTGTTTCAAAGCAGTTCTTTTTTATTTGTAATATTGCAATCATTAAAATTGTGATCAAATTTGTGACTTAAGCTGAAATCTTTTGAAAATGAAATTCAGAGCTCACAGTCCTAGTCCACTTCATAAATTGTTTCCACATTTGTCTTTAATTTTTGTTAATTCCATGAAGTGTTCTCACATTTGACTTGAAAACTTTGCTGGAGCGGTACACCATACAGATAAATACCTTTTTAAAGGAGCATCGTATGTATATATAAAAAAACAAAAACAACATTTAAATAGGAGGGAGGACATTCCATATGCTTTCAGTTCCTGTATTCTGAATTGTTAAAGAAAGGAACAATGGATAATTAATGTAAATTAATCAACCATTAATTTAGATTAATGGGTGACTAATATGTGACTCTAAAATATGTTATGCTTAACAATTTGGATGTCAAAAATGATCTGAAAATAAACAAAGATGTAATTGTTTCTTTAAAAAGTAGTTTATATTTTTTACCTGAAAGGATAACAGAAAGATAAACATCAAGTTGGTTTTGGTTTGATGCTTTGGGGATTGAGAAAAACTGATAGTTCTTAAATATTTGTTTAGTTTGTTGGGTAGCAGTTTTTGTGTGTGTTTGGAAAGTTTAAACTGTTGTAAACAGCTATGAGTCAAGATGCTTTGGGTCTGTTTGTACTTGTTGTGTAGAAGGAGCATATTTTGGACCCTTTCTTTAAACTGTTTTAAAGTGTAATCTTGTTAACCCCTTAACCCTCACTCCAGGAAAAAACAATGGAAACGGCACGTAGGCATTCTGCTGCTGTGGTTAATTAAGTTTTATATTTGCATCTAATGATCTCCAGTCTTCCTCTGTCTTAAATGTCTGGCTAATGCTATTGTAGCAAGCTGTATTTCAAGCAATAATACAGTCTAAAAGTATGGATACAAATGGCTGTGCATATTGGTAAATGATTCACCTGTCTGGCTGTGCATTACCAAACAGGTGACTGGTACAGTTATGTTTTCTCAGAGGTGATTATGGAGACAACCCATCTCAAGTTGTCAGATTCCTTAGTTTAAAGTTGAAAATTTTCACAGCTTCTTATCTTTATATATTTCTGCAACTTGTTAAAATCAACATGACTTAAACCATTAATAACTGGCTAATCTATTAACTTTACGAAGAAATTGCCTAAGCTACGTGGCTCAATTGAAACATGATTTTAGACTTTTTGAATAAATATTCCATCCTTTCTCACTTGCAGATGTGATGCTGATCCTGCTGCATTGGCCAACTACGTAGTGGCTCTTGTGAAGAAAGACAAACCAGAGAAGGAGCTGAAAGCACTTTGTGCTGACCAGCTTGATGTTTTCCTACAAAAGGGTAAGAAGTTTGTATTTAAAGCTTCTTTTAAGCTGATTGGATGCAGAAAGACATCCTTTTTCTGTTTTAAAAATGTGTGTTGCTTTCTCAGTTAGCTGAAATGGAAAAAGGAAAAAACTAAAAACAGTTAGTTTAGTCTTTCACCCCTTGTTGTCCCCTGCTCTGTTATGATGGGACTCAAGTAGGGAAGTTATAGTTTAAAGAATGGTTAGAAACGTATATTAATTCAGTCATTAAATGTTGATTATTAAAGAATGATATGGTCCCTTTTCAGAGGTATTAGTTTTTTATAAAACACAAAATATACTTAACGCTAAAATAACATAATAGAATCTCCAATTTGTTGTTGCATTTATGGACTAAAGAAGTGAAAGTTCTCATATCTTGATGCACTTGGCAGGCAGAGAAATAAGAGTTTTTCTTATTTGACCTTCCAATCAAAGGGAAATTTTGCTGGTCCATCACATGGCTAGATATATTTGGATCACTTTGAAAGTATAGGTTATTTAAAAAATAATAATTGTAACATATTGCTTGAGAGAGTTTTTGATAAATTGGTTCATTCAGAAAGACATATTAAGCGATTTACATACAAAAAAACCTCAAATATATTTACCCACTTTATGCAAAATTAGTATTTGATAAAGTTCTGGCTATCTCAAAAGGTTAAATGAGACAGCATTGTTTCAGATTATTTCCAGAGTGATTTGTTGTAAGCCTTGTAAGAAATGATAAAAGTAATTTACGTCAGTGATGGATAGTCAAACCTAGCTGTACAGAGAGTGAGAAATTTGCATGTTTCAAATGGCATCATGTAAATAAACCATAATGTTTCCAAGCTGTACGTTAGATTATCTCCTCTATGACCTTAAGAGGGAAACTGTAAACGTTTGATTTTATTTTATTTTATTTTTGACATGTAACAATGACTTGTGATCCAAACACTATTATTTTCAGAAAGAATGCTGAAGTTTGCTGATTGAAGCTACTAGTTTTCTTCTTAGAGAGCATATAAGATTATTTACTGCATCGCAAATGGTGAAAACGAAAATAATGTCTTTGAGTTTGTTTATATCATATAACATTATAGATATTCACCAATTGCTTCTCCAGTGGCTGAAAAACATGTTTTTGTATTATCTAGCATTTTTTGTATTAGTTGTATTACATTTATTTACATATTCACATTGTTTTTGTACTGTATGACATTATAATTGATTATACTGTGCTATACTGGGATAAACATAGAAATAATAAAATGATTGGTTTCTAGACAATAGACATATCATCAATGCAGAGTATTATCCAGTCCAACTATATAACTGGCCACACATCTAACAAAATAAAAAAAATTTCATTGCTTTTGTTTTGCTTTTCTAGAAACCATAGGATTTGTAGATAAACTTTTTGAGTCGTTGACAACAAAGAGCTACCTGGGTAACCCTGCTGCCAAGGAGGGTCCAAAAGAGGAGGTGAAACCAGCGACTCTCAAGGCTGATGTTGTTGAGGTAAGAACAGTGGACAAGGACACATTAAAAAAATTAGTATAAAGTTTCTTAAAGAGAAGAGCTACCTTATCTTTTTAATATTTACATCAAAACAAATTTATATTTGAAATGTTGATTTTTTTTTATTTATATTTTTTTAAATCTCTTCCTGTGTAACCTAATTATTGTTTCCCTGAAGGCTGAAACTCCAGAGGAAGAGAGAGAAAACAGACGCAGGAGAAGTCCCCTGAGAAACCGCGTTGACTTCAACGAATCCAGGCAAGGCTGTGGCTTCAACTGTATTCTTCATATGTTGTTATATTTCTATGGCTACTCTCATGAATATAGAGAGGTGTGTGATTATACTTAACATCTGCAAAACATCGGCAGTGTCTTTGACATAAAAGCCTAGTCGCCACCTTTAACTCCCTTTGCGACAGGCATAAATAACACATTTCTGTAGAAGAAATCCCTATTGACATATATATATATATATATATATATATATATATATATATATATATATATATATATATAATATATATATATATATATATATATATATATATATATATATATATATATATATATATATATATGTGTG